AAAGAAACTAAATAAAAATATATTTATTTAATCAATGGTATAGACAAAACAGTGTTAAAATTAACAACCGTATTGAAATGTTCATAAATTGTTGTACCTGATGAATTGAAAACCTTAAAACTCTGAGTCGTACTGTAAATGTAATATATGCGTAATTATTAATATATATATATATATATATATATATATATATATATATATATATATATATATATATATATAAAGTTATCTTCTGTTTATATGTTATTTTTATAGATATAAATATTTAAGTAAATGCTATGTTTATAATAAACAGTATTAAACAACATTTACCGACCTGAATGTCCGAGAAATTTTCATAGAAAATATTCGTGCTCCAAATCTTGTGGCGTTTGTTTGTTTTTTTTCTAACAAGATTTCTCGAAATATTCAGGCTGCTAGATGCAAATAAATAAATATACTGTTTAATAAATAAATAAAAACTGAGCAGCTACTTGAATATGTGTATCCATTTATAAAATAACGTTAAACGAATAAATTTATATATTTATTATATAATAAGTAAAGACAATCCCTAAAAATCCATTTCGGTTATAATTTATTTTTCATGAATATATTTAAATATTAATCTCTTCAGGCCGAATTAATTTGAAAGAAAAAGGGGGAGGAAAAATTTTCATAATAATATGAGGAAGAAACAAAAAGAAAAATTTCAATATAAAATTTTGTTAAAAAAAAATTAGGGAAGAGAGAAACAGATAGATAGGGGAAAAGAGAGAGTGGGAGATAAGGAGAGGGAAAGAAAAGAAATGAAAGAAAAGAAAGAAAAATTAAATATGAGCCGATAGATTGACCTAGAAATAAATTTTTCCTTAAGGGCTGAACAATTTAATATACCGGGTTAGAGAGGTGAATGATCAGAATCTGTTATTTACATTGATTTCTCTTTGGATCAATGTCCTTGGAATTTTCCCTACCAATTACCAACTGATGCTGTATGTGTATATATATATATATATATATATATATATATAAGTTACCCAGCTTACATATTCGTATTTGGAACGTTGTAAATGAACTGAAAAATATTTTGAGTTTACGGAATATCTACAAATATTTTAACCCCCTGAAGATGGTCTCAGATGAGATTGAAAGTACTTGGAAAAAAAATTATTTGAAAGAAATTTTTGGAATTTTTCTTAATCAATATATATCTGCCACCAAGAAATTAATTCGCGGACTTGAAAGGATTAAAACTAAAATAAATAGACATAATACGTCTAAATTATTTAACCAAACATACTTGAATAAAAACATGCCTATATATATATATATATATATATATATATATATATATATTATGAAATGGACAAAGTCTGACAATTATTTTTTTTAAGACATTTTTATGTTTATCCATTCTTTTTATAGATACAAATAATATAGATATAAAAAGAATGTATAAACATAAATGTCTTTAATATATATATATATATATATATATATATATACACTTACGGAGGAATGGAGGCCTCACACTTATACACTCACCCATTGATTATACACACACGTACACACACCATACTCACTGTATATATCCCTAATGAGCCAAATGATAACACACACCTACAGCAATACACACGCTACACACATATCATACTCACACACTCCCTAAGAACCAAATAACACACACACAAACACTAAACAGAGACACATCCCCTCACCAGGTCCAATAAAACTGTCAAACTGACCAGAGAATTCAGGATAAAATGTATCTATCCAGTTCTTATCTCAAATAACAACTTAAAAGAGACTGTTTAACCAACACAAGGAATGTTAAAAGATTCA